GTATATATAGCACTTTAAAGAATAAGAGAAAAGAAACAATTCAAAAACACAAATACACAGAAACACAATTTGAACAAAACTAAATTCACATATCTAATAGATGAAATATAACAATAGAAAATAAAATTTAACAAATTGTAGACAAAATAGTTTGTATAGTTCCTTTCAAAAGATGTAAATAACAAATATATACTATTTGAACATAAGTTCACGTGCCATGGCAATTAAATAATAATATGTATCCCAGTATAAAATATAATTTGAAGTATAGGTGTCAATATAAACAACAAAAAAAACACCTATATTGAATCACAGCAAAGTTCCAAGGGCATCTTTAACAAGATTTCTGAACTTTTTATAGCTTTTTTCCTTCCTAATTTCGTAAGATATGTGATTATACAGCTTTTTACTTTCATAAATTTTATTTTCAGTTACTCAGTTACTTGCCGGGTTATGTAATTTGTAGATTCCGGAGTTCCAACCATGTTATGTTTTTTGTAAATCAGGGAAACAGTTTCAAGTATGAAAATACAAGTAACAGTGAGAATTTTTTCTCTCAAAAATAATGGTCTGCATGACTCACGTACTCCTACCTTGCATAAGTATCTAACCGCTCGCTTTTGCAAAACAGACACTGAATGAAAAAATTGTTGACTGCAAAATCCCCAGAAGGCAACACCATATCTCAGGTGGGAGTCAATCAGGGAATGATATACCATTTTCGATGTGGATGAACTCAGTTCATTTGAAACTATTCGAAGTGCATAACATCCTGATGCCAATTTTTTATTCAAAGCTGAAATATGTTGATCATATTTTAATTAGTTATCCATGAAGATTCCCAGGAATTTGGATTGCTTTTTATTCTCAAGAATTTGTCCATTCAAGTATATTTTGTTAATATTACAGCTGAAGGTTATCACAAGTAGTTTGCGTCACACCATTTTTTCACAACTTCTAGAGATAGTTTCTTTCATATTAGAAGTATTTTTTCCATGCCAAAGGAGCGTGGTGTCATCCGCAAAGATGGTAAAACTTCCTTGAATTGAGAGAGTCACGAGGTCATTAACATAAATAAGGAAAAGAATCGGGCCTGGTACTGATCCTTGTAGTACGCCCCATAAGATATCCTTCGTATGTGATAGTTTTTCGTTTGATCTAACTAACTGTTTTCTATCACTTAAGTAAGACCTGAACCAGTCATTACACACTCCTCTCAAGCCATAGTAGTTCAACTTTTGCAAAAGAAGTTCATGATTTACACAATCAAAAGCTTTGGAGAAATCACAGAATACTGCAGCTACGACCTCACCATTGTTGAGATGTGTGTAGACATGTTCAAGAAATTGACAGTTGGTTAATATATTGTATTTATAAAGAAAAGCTTTTTTCACCATTTTTTCTATGATTTTTGAGAGTGTTGAGAGCATAGAGATAGGTCTGAAGTTATTTGGATCTTCTGCATTACCACCTTTGAAAATAGGAATTACAAGAGCTGTTTTTAGACACGGAGAGAAATTTCCAAGGGAAAAGGATTTATTTATAGCCATCACTAGTGTATTCAAAGCGGAATCGGAAAGGTTATTTAAAATTTTTACTGAAATTTCATCAATTCGTGTTACATTTTTGTTTTTATTTTCTTACAAGATTTCTTTCAGCTCAAATAAATGTGTGTCTTCAAAGTGAAAGTTGTTGGGCATAATTACATTATTTAAATAATCCATAGGATTTGAAGTAGGAACAAGGGATGAAGTTAGTTTCTGAGCAATTGTGCAGTAAAAATTATTGAGTGTTTCCGGAATTATATTGACGTGTTCTGGAATTGAATTTGATTTATTTTTTAGACTATTCACTATGACTCGCCACTAGATGGCGATGTAGAACAATTTTTGAAAGCACTGTTCTATAACGCTGCGCACGCCTAAGTTCGTTGATTCTGATTCTATCAAAACATTGGAACAGCCGCGATACAGCAACATAGTACTACAACTACCAAATTCTACGCGGGAGAAGCTACGGGTAACAACTAGTGTGTTATATTTGGCCCCAAAAATCACTAAAAAGAAATTTCGCATGGATTCGTACCATGGTTCATCAATAACATAACTCGTTCTTCATCTTGTCTTTTTTATTGTTGAAATGAGAATATATTTTGTCATATCCGAATATGAACATCTGCCGATCCCATGAGTTTTCAAAATCTACTTGAAACATAGTTCATCATTGTCCAAATGATCTGGGTTACTTGAATATTACACAAATGCAAAATCATCATTTGTACAATTTTCTCAGGTGCCCAACATGGTTTTCATCGTCTGTATTTTTTTGAGCAGTTTATATGAATAGTTGTTGAGATTGTAGTAGGGAGAAATGTCATTAGTGTCAAATACGTCAGCATTGTGAAAATTGAAACTCCTGGACACCAACATCAATGAGACTACTGTATATGAGTATACTGTGACAATGATCTCGGTTTTAGAAGTGGAAGTAAGTGTAAGACTATGTTAATGTGAGCACTGATGGCTTATGGAAATCAGAATGAACAGTAGGCCATGTATACACTACAAACTTTCAACCAGGCCAGTCTAAGTGTATGGTCAACGGCTTCAGGAAACTAGGCCATATTTGCTGCCTGTGACATGTCTGTCACAGGTAGCAATTAATGTGGCAATTGGCAATAACTTATGTGGATTGTGGATACGATATTATTCCTTCAAAACAGTACGTCCATTTCATGCACTTCACACCAAACAATTTCAATTATCATCTAAGGAGTTATTGCAAAATGAAAATTGTCGCCCTAGAAAATGAATTGATTTGTTTTCAGGTGGATGGATATTTAACTTTTTCAAATTCAAAATTAACAGTTGTGAATATTATTTTGTTTGAGTGCATTTTATATTCAGGAGTTCGATCAGGGAGACAGCGAATTGTGTGACAGTTGAAATCGAATACTCTCGATTGGTCTGGACTGTTCTAGAACTTTCTAGAGGGCAAAACACTTCTCTTTGAAACCACGTCCTTTCATTAAAAAAAGGGAAACTTTTTTATGGACAAGTTGATGTGACAGAATTCCTGTCACAGGAAGCCAGGTCGATTGCTAGCCTTATATAAAAGATTGAAGCAGTTGGAATATTGTAAACCTTCACCATGTTTCAAACTATGTTTGGGAATTTGTCATCCTCGCCGGAAACATAATGAACAATGAACGGTAAATATTCTTCCCATTATTCTATATTACAATATTATACCATCCTACTTATTTCATAGTCTTATTAGCAATATTATTCATGTCATCTGATAGGTTTACACATATCAATTGATATTTGAGGTGCCCGTTTCCAAAACTTGTTAAATCCATCAGAAGTTATTTCGAGAAAATCCAACTTTTTTTATAGGCTTTGTGTGACTGATCTGTTATTTGTAGGTTGTCCTTTAATACGGTCAGCAAACAAATATTAGAGAATGTTTTGCTGAGTTATTCGAAAACAAAAGTAGGATCAAATGAGTTTTGGAAACATATTGTGGATTTATACAGCTATGAAAATTTATGAAGTTGAAAAAGACTTATGTGATGCAAAAATAGTGTTTATTCAACTCAACTTTCAAAACAAAAATATACAGTCTCTCATTTAAGCAAAAACAGGTTCAAACAACTACTGACAAAAATCGTATGTGTACGTAAACAGTAAAGAAACCATGCCCATACGAACAGGATCTAACAAGTTTTGAAACCGTAGCATGCAATGAATAACATAATACTATTGGATTGTAACAGTGTTTATGATGCTAGTTTTGGAAATATACTAATTTTTTAATATCATAATATTACTGGAAGTAATCAGATTTGGTCCACTACAATTATATAGGCATGTGTCAAAGTTGTCATTTTCTTAATTTCAGTGAAATATGAATCTAATGAGTTATGGAAACGCATGGTTCATCAATATGTTTTCGTAGTGTAGTGGTTATCACGTGTGCTTCACACGCACAAGGTCCCCGGTTCGAACCCGGGCGGAAACACTTTTTTTTTACATTCGATATGTATGAAAATAATCAGGTATATATAATATTGTCTTTTTATATTATCTTTAATTCTGTAATTCTAATTATTTTTCGATAAAAGGAAAGAATGGTTCAGAACATTGCAAGTATGTTTTTCGAAGAATTGATTGGATACAGGGCAACAGAGCAACAATTTGAAAACTTTCTGCCTTCATTATTTTGGGAGTCGCCATTATTTCAGAAACATATCAGGGTAATTGAGGGGTAATGAAAGAGGTAGGCCTCACCAACCATTATTTTTCAGTGGTATTCCTTATTTTGATTGCTTTTCGAAAGATCTTTTTTAATATGACGTAGTATGTGACATATATGCCGACAAACATCAGAATTTTCAACTGTTCTCGTTTTTGTTCTAACTAAGAATTCGTTTTTATAATTACGTAATACATAATCATTGTGAAAAATTTGTTATAATTTTTTTTTTTTTTTAAATGGATGAACTTTGCATACATAATACGCTCAAAAAAGACCATGCATTTTACCAACGCATTATTTACCCCCATTATGTCTAACATTAGGTCAGGAACTGAAAAAATAAAATTAAAAGTGTGGCAAACAAAAAATGGTTTCAGCCCAGATATCTGGATGAAACCACACAAAGAAATTGGTCAATTCTCAGTAACTTACTCAAAGTCTACAAAATGCATAGTCATGGTCAAACCTCTCAATACTCCTCTGCTTTTCCCTACGACTAACCCGATATATTTTTGTAAAAATTTCAATAAGTTTTCAAAATATGGAAGGCGTGAAGTTTTCAAAATGTCACTCTACAAAATATTTACTAGATGAGCATTTCAACTTTATCTTCATGGGATAACATAAATTTGATATGCTTTATTTTTCAAGTTACTTCGTTTGACTTTGAATCAGGGTCAAAGTCAGTTTTGCTGGACCAATTTCACATTGTGCATTGAAATAATGTGTTTCAGCCTGGAAGAAGAGTGGCATGGCACCCTAGGTATAGGTACCAACAGAGAGAAATCATTCCCATCTCTGAATTGTTAGATAATTCTTTAAGAACTCGTAGTTTCTATATCGTCCACAGAAACTGTTGACTCCAAGATGATACTGTACTCAGAGTAACAGAACTATAAAAAGTTTTTTCTAAATTACAGAAATCTCTACTCGATTTTTTCATTCTAGATTGCAGATTATATATACAGGAGCAATAAAATATATGCAGACCTATTATGAAACTAACTTATGTGGCCATAGTAGAATAGAAGAGACTGAGAAAGCATATTCAAAATAAAATTTTATACAAAAAATGACCAGATAGAAAATGACCAACGAGAAAATGATAAAAAAATAATTAAGTAAGTAATGAGTAAGCAGGATGAAAAGAAATGAGGAGGATAGGTAGAAAAGAAAGAGTTGAGAAACGAAGGAAAGAAGAAAATTCCAGTGTTTGAAATGACTCAAAGCAGGTTCAAATTATTCGAAGCCTAACAATTATGAAGACCTATAGAAAATTCATGTAGCAATAAAGGATTACATTTGAAGTAGTAACATAAATAGAAATAAAACTACGAACACACCGAAAAACAATACGAAAGTGTGTTTGCCAGAACAGATTCTGATTCAGAAGCCTTTGCAGAATCTTCAACCTCCAAAGCACCTTCCAAATGTTTTCAAATAGGAATGTAGGGCAAGTGTTACCTAATGAAAAGTCCTTTCGACTCCCTATATCTACTGCTGCTTTCAACTACTCGTTTAGAAGATATGGAGGTAAGATATTCGTTTTCCGAAAATTACAAAAGTGCATTTCAGGAATCAATTGAGAAAATGCTGAAAATATTATTCGTCAACCTCCATAAAATATTTTCTAACTACTCAGTTTGTCGTACATTTCAAGGAAACATACAATAATTTTTTGTCCTCGCAGGTATGCCAAAGAGTCAGGTAGTGTGCGATACACTTCGTTTTTTATGCGTGTTTCCACAGAAAAAGAAAGAAGGACTCAATTTGGGTGACTCAATTGCACCCTTCCATCAAATCCAACGACCACGAAAACTTTCTTTTGAATGAATGAGTAAATTTTGTGAGTAATGTGAAGCTGTACCGTCTTGTTGTCAGTTTCTTTTCAGTATATCTAGAATAATCCTCTATGATATTAGTAAGAGTTGAATCGATTATATTTCTGAGTGAATCCAAATACATTTCTTTTGATAGATTTTTAGAAAGAAAAAGAAAAGATCTAGGAAGGATTTTCCAAAAATGTAATAAATACCCTTTGAACAGAAAATTCATTCAAAATTTCGCGAACTTGCATGCAAAGATCAAGTCGTCATCATGTATTTCTTGACCGGTCGAATCTTATAACGGTTGGAACTTTGCAACAATATAATTTCGCAAAATTTTGCCATCAATTGCCAAATAGAATTGAAATGACAACTGATCATTGCGGAGTTTTGAATTGATTCATTCCACATTTCTATTCATACGCCTATTAAATTACGTAGGATAATTATATTAGTATGTATTTGTATTGAATATTTTATATTATATTCATATCAATATGTCAACAACTTCATTAATTTCCCCAGCTAGGGTAGGAGATAGCCCTTGGATTACTCTATTTCCTCTGTATATAAAAATTCAATATTTTTAAAATGATGACCATAATGCACAAAAAAGTATGTCTATTTGAATTTTTTATCATTCAAAAATCCGATACTTGACCCTAATTCCTTGTTGGAAAATTGAAAAACAGGTTTATAGGATGGAAAAACATGATACTGTGAGAAAAAATTTAATCGAATAAAGCCTTCAGCGAAACTGAAATTATTTCATTTCCTTTCCTGAATATTTCAATTCCAAAAAAGGGTGCCGCCTGGAAACTCCCTTTTTGGGGCGCCACTCTCAACTTACGTTCTCGAATTATAAATGTAATATCGACTGCGTTTGATTGTAAATGGTGATGCAATGTATTTCGTTAACTAACTCAGGTAAATCTTAAATAAAAATATCACCTATACCTTGCATATCAGATCAACAAGCATGACGCCTTTCATGTCACCTCTAACTACTTTCGATAACGATTCAATAATCGATTTTATATAATGATTGAATAATTATATTTCATTATAATTTGTACAGCTCCTTTGTTTTCCTGAAAATGATTTAATGTCATTATTAATAATTGTTAGTCTATACGTTGCAATAATCATCTTTTTTGTTAGAAACTGTTTCGAAAAAAATTGAAGTCTACCTATTATCTTCTAAGCACTCTGACGACCACGAAAGCCATTACATTATCTACTAAAACAATAGAATATTGCTACGAACATAGATTTCAAGAAAAAACATTCAAACATTCAGAAAAGTGTCCTACTTACTACATACTTTGCGACTTTGTGATCACAGTACGTGCACCTGGTGTTCTAAGGTAGATGTGTTCAAAAGGTACTACTTTCAGTGTCTCTTAGTCATAACTTCCGATACCAGTTCATATTTTTTCGACATTTGACCACACTCATGACTCGAAACCATTTTAGCTGATTCGAAGTGAGTTCTCAAAATAAAGACCAGAACCAAACGATATGAGCCTTCTCTGAGTTATTCCGGGGAGCATCTACTAGAATTATAAATTTCTTCAATGCTCATTGTTATAAGCCTTTCAAAACATCAATAAACGGGAACAAACTTTATTATCTTTCAGTTCTTATAACAGTTACATCGGCCAGGAAAAGTTATATTTTTTTCATTATATACAATGGCGAGAAATGCGAGAAATGAAAACACTTTCCCATACCACAACATAGTTAGGCGTCTACCTAGAAGACAAATTGAATTTTGACAAGCACAAGCACTGATAATCTGATCACAGAATTAAAATCTGCGGAATCTCAGCTGAAAAAAGAATCTCCAAACAAGACTCAATCTCTGACGGAAGCAAGAAACTCCTTCGAGGGTTAGAAATAGATGAACATTTCAATCTAGCAGACCAGTATTATAATATTCATGCACTCATTGTTCACTGTGGTTCTGGCGTTGAAGTTGGTCATTACTACGCCTTAGTCAAAGACGAAACGGACTGATTTAAGTTTGACGATAGTCGTGTCACGAAGTGTTCTGGCGATGTATTGAATCTATTGGAGCCTCTGGAGACACTCTACATTTTATTTTATGAGAGAGAGGATATTGGCAGAACAAGATCTTCAGATGATGTGGTGCTGCAGGTTTTTCCAGGTTTTCCTGCAGATGAAAAAGCAAATGCGCCACTGGAATCAATGATGTCGCCCCGGAGCGCCAATTAATTTTTATTGTTGTTTTTATTTTTATCATTGTTTCACAATTTCACAAATCAAATAGTATAACAAAGATCTTCAAGAACAGATATACTGAAGCATCACAACAGAAATCAACTCATGAAGACGAAAGACATCAAGGAAACACGATCGTTAAGAAATAAACAACCATAAACCAGGACTTTTAAACACTCAACTTTCAGTACTAGTAATTAGAATAAATTCAGAAAATATTATTATAAGCATATAGACTATCACATTCACATTTTAATACTTTTTAACATTGAAAGAAATTATACCAATAGATAGTAATCTACTGTGATGGATCCCTATATCACCAACTTCGAAATAAAATGAATAGATTCCTATGTTTTGAACACTACATACGAAGTGAACGAAATTTTCATGTAAACAGTGAATCTCAGAATTTTAAGTTCATACATAACAATATACGAAGTATTGCTAAAATTTTTGACGAATTTGATATTTTTATCCAGCAGTTTCAATCACACTTTGACTGTATCGTACTAACAGAAACGAGATATATACCCGATGTAACGCTATACAGTATGAATGAATATAAAACTATTTATAATGAGGAAAGTTGAATCAGAATGATAGCCTACGTCAAATCAGATCTTCATCAATCTCATAGTATATATGAATTCAAGGGATCCTTCACTATCACACTGAAAATTGCTTTAGGAGAAAATTATGTGATAGTACACGCCCTTTATAGATCACTATCCACCAGTATCACTGAATTCATTGAAAACTTGAAATCGTACCTAAATCATGTTAGAGACCACCAATATCACTCAAAACTAATTGTCGCAGATATCAACATCGACATTCTCAATCATTCTGATTACTCGAATGAATAACTGGATGTTCTGAGTGTACATTGATATATTTCGGGTATGAATAGCTATACAAGATTATAAGGAAACACAAAATCATGTATAGACCATATATTTGTTAATAATAAATCTGAAGACTTCAGCAATGTAATACCAATTATTCTCTGTACCAACAATACAGATCATTATTTGACCTTTGTTCAATTAGTTCTTCCAAATCAAAATGAAATAAAAAAACTAATAAATAGAGTTTATTCTATGATTTTCACTATAAGGGTTTTACGAAAACCGCGACACGTGTTTCGCTATACAATAGCTTCTTCAAGCATAACTAAAGTTACTTCTAAAATACACCTTATATACTATAACCTAGTAACTATTCGTCTACCTAAGTAATAAATCTACCTGAAAAAATATACCTGAAAAAGTCAGTTATCAATACATTTTTCGAAAGTCTACCTGTAAATATACCTTACTATTAGTACCTGAATGTCAAATCTCTTGGAGAAGAGTTTACTCAATGCCAAGTATTGAATCTGTAACAAGTTAATTTATAGAAATAGTACAATATTTGATAAGTGGATGTTCGAAAAAAGTAAGATCGAAAAGTAATGAAAAGAAACGGAGAAAATGGATAACAAAATCCCTAATCAAATCTGTTAATGAAAAAAATTATAGGTATAATCAGGTAGTAAAGAATCCTCATAACGAGGAATTAAAACAGGAATATAAAATACAAAAATAAACTAGACAGGCTACTGAAACTTGTGATGCACTGAAAACTAAAAAAAAAGGTTATTACAAAGCACGTACTGATGAAAATATGAACGATGCGAAAAAATTGTGGAGTAACATCAATGAAATGTTTGGCTCATGCCAAAATAATGAAATACACGGGATTAAAGACGGCCGAAACAATATCATTACTAATGATGAACGAAAAGGACCTACTTTCAATAACACCTTCACAGAAAGAAATATTGTCAAAGACGGTTCGAAAGTACCAAAAGAAAAAACAACAAAAAATCCAATTTTCATTTCCCCTACATCAGAAAACGAAGTACTCGAAGTTATACGTCAATTAAAAAATGGTAAATCTCCGGGTATCGATAATATAAAGGCAGAAACTCTCAAAATAATTGCACCTCACATAGTCGGTCCTATAACCTTCATAATCAACAGATGTATAGAATCCGGGAAAATTCCCGATGAATTCAATATTTCTGTGGTGAGCCCCATTCATAAAAAAGGAGAACATTACAGGCCTTTTCCACTCATCACTAACTTCACAAACATGTTTGAAAGAATACTGAGAAATAGACTCTCTAGATATTTGCATATGTATAAACTACTACTACTACAAACTATGTTTACGGAGTATTGGATGAGAGCTAGCTTTGCATTGGTGTTTTTGTAGATTTGACGAAGGCATTTGATACCGTGAGTCACACCATATTACTATCAATACTTCAAAATAATGGGATACGGAAACATTGTCTAGAACTTTTCAAAAGCTACCTTGATAAGCGCTAACAATGTGTTAAAATCAATGAAGCTTACAGTGAGTTCAGGGAAATTAAATGTGATATGCTTCAGGGTACAGTGCTACAGCCTATTC